GTAGGACGCTAGTCTAGTGGAGACACGGTACTCTAGTGGTAGGACGGTAGTTTAGTGGAGCCACAGTAGTCTAGTGGAGGCACGGTAGGTTAGTGGTAGGACGGTAGGCTAGAGGAAGGACGGTAGTCTAGGGGAGGCAAGGTAGTCTAGTGGAGGCACGATAGTCTAGTGGTAGGACGGTAGTCTAGTGGAGCCACGGTAGTCTAGTGGAGGCCCAGTAGGCTAGAGGTAGAACGGTAGTCTAGTGGTAGGATGGTAGTCTAGTGGAGGCACGGTAGTCTAGGGGTAGGACGGTAGTTTAGTGGAGACACGGGAGTCTAGTGGTAGGACGGGAGTTTAGTGGAGCCACAGTAGTCTAGTGGAGGCACGGTAGTCTAGTGGAGGCACGGGAGTCTAGTGGAGGCACGGTAGTCAAGTGGAGGGACGGGAGTCTAGTGGAGGCACGGTAGTCTAATGGAGACACGGTAGTCTAGTGGTAGGACGGTAGTCTAGTGGAGGCACGGTAGTCTAGTGGTAGGACGGTAGTTTAGTGGAGACACGGTAGTCTAGTGGTAGGACGGTAGTTTAGTGGAGCCACAGTAGTCTAGTGGAGGCACGGTAGGCTAGTGGTAGGACGGTAGGCTAGAGGTAGGACGGTAGTCTAGGGGAGGCAAGGTAGTCTAGTGGAGGCACGGTAGTCTAGTGGTAGGACGGTAGTCTTGTGGTAGGACGGTAGTCTAGTGGAGGCACATTAGTCTAGTGGTAGGACGGTAGTCTAGTGGTAGGACAGTAGCCTAGTGGAGGCATGATAGTCTAGTAGTAGGATGGTAGTCTAGTGGAGACACGGTAGTCTAGTGGTAGGACGGTAATCTAATGGAGGCACGGTAGTCTAGAGGTAGGACGGGAGTCTAGTGGAGGCACGGTAGTCTAGTGGTAGGACGGTAGTCTAGTGTTAGAATGGTAGTCTAGTGGAGGCATGGTAGTCTAGTGGAAGCATGATAGTCTAGTAGTAGAATGAAAGTCTAATGGTAGGACGGTAATCTAATGGAGGCACGGTAGTCTAGAGGTAGGACGGTAGTCTAGTGGAGGCATGATAGTCTAGTAGTAGGATGGTAGTCTAGTGGTAGGACGGTAATCTAATGGAGGCACGGTAGTCTAGAGGTAGGACGGTAGTCTAGTGGAGGCACGGTAGGCTAGAAGTAGGACGGTAGTCTAGTGGAGGCACGATAGTCTAGTGGTAGGACGGTAGTGTAGTGGTAGGACGGTAGTCTAGTGGTATGACGGTAATCTAGTGGAGACACGGTAGTCTAGTGGTAGGACGGTAGTCTAGGTGAGGCACGGTAGTCTAGTGGTAGGACGGTAATCTAGTGGAGGCACGGTAGTCTAGTGGTAGGACGGTAGTCTAGTGGAAACACGGTAGTCGAATGGTAGGACGGTAGTCTAGTGGTAGGATGGTAGTCTAGTGGAGGCACGGTAGTCTAGTGGAGGTACGGTAGTCTAGTGGTAAGACGGTAGTTTAGTGGTAGGATGGTAGTCTAGTAGTAGGACGGTAGTCTAGTGGTAAGACGGTAGTCTAATGGTAGGATGGTAGTCTAGTAGAGGCACGGTAGTCTAGTGGTAGGACGGTAGTTTAGTGGTAGGATGGTAATCTAGTAGTAGGACGGTAGTCTAGTGGTAAGACGGTAGTCTAGTGGTAGGATAGTAGTCTAATGGAGGCACGGTAGTCTAGTGGCAGGACGGTAGTCTAGTGCTAGGATGGTATTCTAGTGGAGGCACGGTAGTCTAGTGGTAGGAAGGTAGTTGAGTGGTAGGACGGTAGTCTAGTGGTAGGACGGTAGTCTAGTGGTAGTATAGTAGTCTAGTGGAGGCACGGTAGTCTAGTGAAGGCACGGTAGTCTAGTGAAGGCACGGTAGCCTAGTTGAGGAACGGTAGTGTGGCAGTGAGTATTTTGTTTAAATATAGTTTGATTAAAATCTTTCAGACTTTCTATATATTACCAAAGTGGTAATATTAGTATTCATTATGTTGTACTTTTAAATAATGTATCTCTAGCGCTATCTATTTTAATACATGTACTTGTCAAACCTGTTTGTGCAGTTCACATGTCCACCTGAGTATTTTTCACCTGTATTGTATTGTCATGTCTTGTCACGTGATTGCGTGTTCGTACGTGTACCCGTGAGTTTTACTGGCATTCCTGCACTTGACATGAAGAGTACCTGACGTACATGTAACACGCTCTTGTACAACCTATATACATGTAGACGACATATACCTACAGACTATGAATTGAATAGTGCAGCAATATCATAAAGTAAGTAATAAGAATTATAAACCATTTTAAGTTATGCTATCAATAACCTTTATGGAATTATATATATTTCAATTAGATGAGGCTAAATTATCTTTCCTTTATTAGACATATTTTGGGTGTGGTTCGTCATACTTTTTATGATGAGAACCAATGGAATTTACTAAGCCTATTTTATGAAGTATTTACTTAATTAAGATGTTCTTTTTTTCTCCCATACAGATGAGTTGAATATATAGACGACAAGCCATTGTTAGTATTATCATTAAGACCCCTGTCGGATTGATAGGGTAGTTATTTGTTAATCTATACGTTATGTAAATTATGGGACTATTGAAATTAATGTATGTTAACTTAATGGATAAATTGTGTAATTTATCATGAAGCAGAATGATATATTTATCATAGAGTCGTAATGTTAATTGTAACCGTTACGGGGATCTACACATTCTCAAAAATATCACTTTATTTGATATTTTTTTTTCTGTGGTTATGTAAATTCATGACATTAAAATTTATAGAAACTGAAGCTTCATTCAAATTTTCAGTCTTTTCTTCTCTCCACCCAAACCGGAAGTATATAGTAACTACCAAACCAGACGGAAATCCGGATATGTTTGGGCTATCATGATTCTCTTTTCACACGATTTAGAGGGATAAGACAAAGTATATCATGTCGGAAAATAAAATTGGAATTTAATCACCAATATACTTAACTTTTATAATAACAGATAATAACAGTTACATTTGATTAACAATACATCTTCAAATATGAAGTCCCTCTACTGGGCCTCATTCTGTCCGCAACATTACGCTGAGGCCATATATGGGGCAATTAAATGCAACCGTACCAAATGCATTTGTGTATTCTCTTGAACTGTATAATTCCTTCGAATGCTTTTCTTGACTTATTACTAATTTGACATTTATCGCTATGAAACGAATAAATAGATAATATTTTAAACAATGTTATTTAGAAAATAAAATTGAAAAACACAGCATTTAGACGCTTCTCTCGTTTCAGGCAATGCCTGTTTTGAAAATGAATGATTTGCCCAGCAACAGATTCAAGTATATTATAAAAAAACAAACAATTACAGGTTAATTGTGTATGTATTAAAATGGGTAATGTTCTGATTCAAAAATTATAGTATACTATCGAAACAAAAGTACGGGCTGCGCTCTCTCCAGGCCATGCCTGAGTCATATTATATTGCATTTGTATTATTGTAGGAGTCTTCTTTGTGATATCAAATAAACAACTAAAATGGAATCACAGTATTGGATATTCTGTCCTGAACCAATGTAGAGTTGCATTGACCCGGCTACAGTTTGGCGCCCAAGTAGATTTTTGACTGCATTTGAATATTTTGAGACGGAATGTTCCCGCCTAATGTCTGTGCCGTGGGAGCCTCGATTTGGAGCATCAAACTGATGACCTTCACCTTTGAGGTTGGAATTTCGCACTTCCGGTATACTTGCATGCTTAATCAAACGGTGGAATATTCTATTCCCAATGGAAGGACTTGTCTGCCGGTAAATATATTGTTTATCTAGTAACAGTTGATGTTTACAAGAAGATCGTGTTTGGAATAGACAATTTCATTTGATATACATTTGTGTTTATTATCATAAGAAAGTTGTGTTGTGTACTGTGTTTACATCGCGTGTGTTGGAGCCGTACTTATACAGCACAGGTAAACCAGTGAAACCCAGCGATTCACACCTGAGTGAACAGTACCAGTTTTGACTGTAGTTGTCGGAGCGTCTTCGCCGATAACATTTTGGAACTTAAGCAGCTCGTGAACTTTATTTATTTAATTTTTCTACTTTTGCTTAAACATTGTTATTTCATGTAATCTATTTTCAGGTTTGTTGTACTGTGTTATTTTTATACAGCATTTCATTTGTCAACTAGGTCGATCATATGTTTCTTTACATTAGTTAGGAATGTGTGTGTTTAGACTCTTGATATTGTAGACTTTGTTTGAGTATAGTTGGATCCATAGACCCAAACAATTATTTTTTTCTCATTAATATAATTCATTAATTCAAGTTATTGTTTATTTTTTCTCTCAAATTTCATATTTTTGATTTTGTTTTTGCCCATTTTTTTTCTCTCTTTTGATATTGCCGTGATATTGTCTTGATACATTATTTGTATCTATATATAGGTTATTTTTTTTAAGTATTGAATATATTGTCCACATTTCACTTGTGCTGTCACTTTGACTCCAAGGCTGTTGACTTGACTTTGACAATAACTGATTTCTGCAACGTTTATATATAATTTCTTTGACAATAGCTGATTTCTGTGACATTTATATATTTGTGTTACATGTTGCACTTATACGTTATGTGTTTTGTGTTGATTTTCTTTACTAGTACTGCTTATTTATATGGTTGTTGTTTAATCTTCGATTACTTCAACTTGTGATTGTTGTGGAAACCAAATTGGAACAGGCTGGATATTTGAGGATCATACAGGTAGGTATAGTCATCTGGTATGGTAAATATTGATGTCCATTTTGGTGCACATGTACTGGTAAGTTGGGTCTGGTATGGTAAATATTGATGTCCATTTTGGTACACATGTACTGGTAAGTTGGGTTTTCATGTGTTTGAATTTGTTTTGATTTTCAGAAAGGTTTTTTTAGATTGCATATCACTTGACTTTTGTAAATTTAGTTTAATTTGTATTGATCCATCATGGCTATGGAGGGATCATTCTCGGAAAAGGATATGAAGGTGATTACAGCTACTCTTGTAGCTATGGGTTACAAAGCCGAGGAAGGGCAACTTAAATCCGAGGAACTACGGTCCTGGATTAAGTCAAAGGAAGGTGCTAAGGATGTCAAACAGGAAGATGATGCTACTTTTGCTTTACCTACCCCTACAATTACTGTCAATCAACCTGTAAGGATTTCTATTTTCTCCGGTGAGGAAAAGGACACACCATATGGCTTATGGAAATACGAGGTGGAATCCTTGCTAGTATCCAAGGATGAGGATGTGGTGGCTCGGGCACTTCGTCGATCTGTGAAGGGTAAAGCTGGAACAGTTGTAATGCACCTTGGACCAACAGCCCCTGTGAAGAAAATTCTCACCAAGATGGACAGCATATTTGGCACTGTGGAAAAGGATGAAGCACTTTTAGCACGATTGTATAGTGCTCGACAGCAGGATAACGAGGATGCTTCTTCATGGAGGTGTCGATTGGAGGATATCTTGAACAAGGCTGTGAGTAGAAGGGAGGTAACCTATACTGACACAGGAGACATGCTGCGTACCATGTTCTGGACTGGATTAAGACGAGATCTGAAGGATATCACCGGCCATAAATATGATGCCATCGATGACTTTGACGACCTGATGATTGCTGTCCGACAGGTTGAGCAGGATCTTAACAAAAGGAAGGAGGAGAGACGAGTTAGCCCCAGCGCAGATGATTCCAAGATAAAGCCTAGTCCTGCACACATGGCGAGTGCTGTAACGAAAGATGACTTAACAGAAATGAAGGCAATGATTAAGCAGCTGACAACAGACATGGCCAAGATGATAAGTAATGAGAAGCAATACTCAAAATCTGGAGTTACAAAACCATTCAAGCAGCAGGTGGAAGACATCAGAATCATGGAGTGATGGACCCCTGTGTTGGCGATGTGGCCAGAGAGGACATATTAGACTTGGATGTCGTGTACGACTTGACCATTTAAACGGTGACAAGCCTATGAAGAATGACGGTTCTTAGGCTTGGAGAGGAGAGCCATAAACCATGCTATACAACCAGACAGGAAACACGTACCTGGAGAGTTGGTTGGTTCCCCGAGTGAAACACAGGTGTTTATTGCAAGGAACAAAATTCAGGGCTTTGTTAGATACAGGATCTACTGTCTCTACTGTTTCTGAACAATATTATAGAAGTTCTTTATCTAATTTTTGCCAATTGTTGCCTGTAACAGATTTCCTTAATGTAGAATGCGCAGATGGAAACCTTCTTCAGTACTCATGATATATTGAGGTCGATATAGCTGTTCCTGGACTTGGTGGAATGTCACAATCTTGTTTACTGTTAGTTGTTCCAGATAGCAATTACAATTCGTCAGTTCCGTTGCTACTTGGTACTAATGTACTTTTTCCCTTGATGCATGCCTGCAGTGAGGAACATGAAGCAAGATTTCTACAGCAAGCGGACCTACATGCACCTTGGTACCTCGCATTTAGATGCTTATCCATACGGGAACGCGAGTTGGCAAGGAATGAAAATAGACTTGGACTTGTTCGATGTGCGGAAACCAACAGTATAGTAATGAAGCCAAACAGTTATGTAAAGGTGTATGTGGACAAGGGAATTAATTACCATCAGACATGTGCCATGCTGCAACCTTCCAAGTTGGCTACTATTTCATCGTTGTTGACTCTGACACCTGGAATTATGGAATATGATGGTAACAACAAATCGGTGACTGTACAGCTATCTAATGTCACAAGTAGGACTTTGACAATTCATCCGAAAGCTGTGATTTGTGAGCTTCAACCAGTTATTATGGAGCAACTACCACCTTCCATTGATATACAGGGAAAGAGTCCAAGTATATATGATGTCCTAGACTTCACTTCATCCAAGGACATGCCATTATCACCATATCAGCTTAGTTAGGGAATAGAACTTATACGTAAGTATGAAGATATGTTTTCAAAACACGATGAGGATATCGGCCATCGGATTGAGCTGGACAACGGCGCTCCTTTTAAGCAGCGACACAGGAGAATCCCACCTTCCATGTTAGATGAGGTTCGTGGACACCTTCAACAACTTCTTTCGGGAGGAATTATAAGGAAATCACACTTTCCATGGTCATCTAATGTGGCCCTTGTGAGGAAGAAGGATGGGAATTTGAGGATGTGCGTTGACTATCGACAGCTCAATAATCGTACTGTGAAAGACTCCTATGCCTTACCAAGGATAGAGAAAAAAATTGGATTGTTTGGGTGGCAATAAGTTCTTCACTGTGCTGGATATGAAAAGCGGCTATCACTAGGTGGAGATTGATGAGGAACACAAAGAGAGAACTGCATTCACTGTTGGACCACTAGTTTTTTTTTAATTCAATCGGATGCCAATCGGGTTGTCAAACGCCCCAGCCACTTACCAACGGCTAATGGAGGAATGTCTCGGAGATTTGCACTTGAAGATATGCCTCATATATCTTGATGACCACATCATATTTTCCGATACTTACGAGGAACATCTTCGTCGACTGGATCAGGTATTCCAACAGAGAATGTAACCTGAAGATTTCCCCAAATAAATGTTGTTTCTTCAGAAACCGAGTGAAGTACGTTGGACACATTGTTTCTGAGGCAGGTGTGGAAGCAGATCCAGATAAGGTAGCAAAGATCAGAGATTGGCCAGAACCATCAACGCCTGAGGATGTCAGAAAATGTCTAGGATTTGCGGGATGTTATCGCAAGTTCGTACAAAACTTTGCTCAGATTGCGCGCCCACTTACTAATTTGCTCCCATCTACCCAGGAGAAGCAGAAGTCTAAGAAGGTGGACAAAGATCAATAGAAGTGGGGTGCTGAAGAAAGAAGGTCATTCAAAGACTTGAAGGATGCTTTATCATCACCATCTGTTCTCGGGTTTGCTGACTACACTAAATCATTTGAAATCGATACAGATGCCAGCGCAATGGGTTTAGGTGCTGTTCTATACCAAGAGCATGAAGGGGAATGTCGTCCTGTTGCCTATGCCAGTCGTGGACTTACTAAAGCGGAAAGGAATTATCCAGTTCATAAGCTAGAACTTCTAGCTATGAAATGGTCAATCACAGACAAGTTCCACGATTACTTGTACGGAAATCGCTTTACAGTTTATACGGATAATAACCCATTAACGTATGTTCTTTCCTAGGCTAAACTTGATGCTACAAGCATCGTTGGATCTCTGCGTTAGCAGCATTCAATTTTGATATCCGCTATAAACCTGGAAAGTCGAATCTTGACGCGGACGCTTTATCAAGATACCCAGGCCTTGAAGTCAATCATACTACAGACATTCAACATATCACCAGAGAATGTGTGGATGCTGTATGTAGCGCAATGATTGAGGGATCACCATACCTGGAAACCATGTGTTTATCTACCAGCATACTGGATGGCATGGACACGGGACAGGATGTAGGTGGATATACACCTGCTCAGATGAAGAAACTTCAGCAGGAAGATGAAGCTATAGCTGACATATTACCTTATGTAAGGAATCGACAGAGACCTTTAAGACTAATGAAAAAGAGTAGCGAATTCAAGATGTATTCCAAGAACTTTGATAACTTAACATTAATGAGAGGTGTCGTATACAAAAAGACGAATGAGGAAAGACCACAGTTGGTATTACCATTACGGCTGAGGCGTAAGGTACTCCAGGCCATGCACAATGGTGTTGGGCATCCAGGACGTTATCGGACAACATCAAGCATACTAGACAGATTATATTGGCCAGTGATGCGCAAGGACATTGATGAATGGGTCAAGCTGTGCGATCGCTGTACTCGAGCAAAGACACCGGCCAGGGCACGTGCTCCATTAGTCAGGAAAGAGACCTCGCAGCCGATGGAACTTGTGTGCATTGATTTCCTCACCCTAGAACCATCGAAAGGAATTTTCCAGTATCCTTTGGTCATCACCGACCATTTCACAACATATGCCTAAGCTGTACCTACACGGAATATGTCTGCTCATACTACTGCGGATGCCCTCTACAACAATTTCTTTGTACATTATGGTATACCAAAACGAATCCACTCTGATCAAGGTGCGAATTTTGAAGGAGAGGTAATCAGGGAACTGCGTTCTTTATTAGGAATAGAAAAGTCGAGAACGACTCCATATCATCCTCAAGGTAACGGAATGTGCGAGAGATTTAACAGGACTTTCATGGATATACTCCGCACTCTTGATCCTAAGGAAAAGAGCAATTGGAAAGCTTTTATTGGACCTTTCACCCATGCATACAATTGTACAAGACACGATACAACCGGATACTCACCATATTTCCTGATGTTTGGCCGTCAACCCAGATTACCAGCGGATGTTGCTTTTGGTGTTACTCATTCAGACGAGGATTCTTCTTCACCTCCAAGCAATGCTTATGTGGAAGAGTTGCGAAAGCGCCTACAGCAAGCCTATCATTTGGCTTCGTCTAATGCTGGTCAGGCCCAGGATAAACAGAAGGAGGATTATGACTTGAGAGCATGTGGTGCCACTTTGGAGCCAGGTGATCGAGTACTTGTTAAAGTACTAGCATTCCAGGGACGCCATAAAATTGCTGATCATTGGGAGACTGATGTGTATATCGTCGAACGCCAGCCGAATATCGATATTCCAGTTTTCGTTATTTAACGGGAAGACGGGACTGGAAGGAAACGTATCCTACATCGGAACCATCTACTCCCAATAGGATATTTGTCACCAACTTCTGGGAGTACACAGGTTCCAAAGCGACCAAAGCCCATGCCCAGAAAGAGGAAAATTATGGAACCAGACAAAACAGCAGCAACAGTGGATGCGGAAGTGGAACCAGAGGATCAGAGTGATACCTCGTCAGTGGATATCCACGTTTCCACACCAGAATTAGATTTACTAGTTCTTGGTATTCCAGCTCAGGAGGATGACTATCCGAATAACACTGACTGGGATGGTGAGGTTGAGGATGACGGTCCATCTCAAGACGTTGAGGACGAACAACCTCAGACACCAGATGTAGAGCTTAGGAGGTCCCAACGTATTAGACAACCACCCCTAAGATTCACTTCTGGCGACTATATCATGTCGACTCAGGAACCTGATTGGCAGCGTAAGGTAAGTTACCTGATGAGATTGACAAAATCAGAGGAGTTTTTAAAACTTTCGCCACAGATGGCAAATGCGGTTACGTCCCTTGTTGTAAGTAAAGACTGACGAGGACGTCATTTCATTATCAGAGGGGGGTATGTGGCAGTGAGTATTTTGTTTAAATATAGTTTGATTAAAATCTTTCAGACTTTCTATATATTACCAAGGTGGTAATATTAGTATTCATTATTTTGTACTTTTAAATAATGTATCTCTAGCGCTGTCTATTTTAAAACATGTGATTGCGTGTTCGTACGTGTATCCGTCAGCAAGTAAGTTGTAAGCACGTACAACTCACTTACCACGTGTGCAACGTACGATGCACGCAATCGCTCACGACCAGGCGTGGCGTGCGGGCCACGTACTTACACCTTGCGCAACCGTGCGAGTGACGTGCGTTGACGTACTCTCTCCCTGCTCTTGCCACTCCCTCCCTACGTGGCGACCGTGGCCTCTCCAAAAAAACGTACGGACTGAACACACGCACGGCGAGTTGTGACCGGGCCTTAACGCAGGTAATGTCACGTGGTTAGGTGACCAGCATAAACATTCCGACGGCACCCCTGCATGAGAGCAGATCTCCATTTTACATGTAAGCAGCTAGTAAGCTTCATGTTGCCCCTGGTAAGCATTCATCATCATGTTTTCTATTCACATTTATCTATGTATATGTAGTGAGTAAGATAGGTGAGAGGATTGAATAGGTATGAGTCCGGAATACGAGTGCGGAGTGAATGACTATGTAGT